GTGTTACAGTATGTTTTGTCAGTGTGTGTGGATGTGTGTGTGTGTGTGTGTGTGTGTGTGTGTGTGTGTGTGTTACAGTGTGTGTGTGTGTGTGTGTGTGTGTTACATTATGTTTTGTCAGTGTGTGTGGATGTGTGTGATGAGTTCGGGAGCTCCTAATAATCTTAAACAATAATATTTGTTTATGCCATACTTAATAAAATGCCATATACTCGATAAACTTGATGTTTAACATTCATATCGAAAGTACGTTTTGGCAGCCGTTTATTTTCCTGCATGTTTCTAATCGTAACGTTTCATATCTTGTTCACAGAAACTGTACAGAGCGTCCTTTGAGAAGAACAGAGGAAACTTCAAGTACACCTGCGACACGCCGTTCTTCCAGGCCGCCAAGTATGCTTCCACCCTCATCGACGACGTGAGTTTCTTCATTCTTTTACCCAACGCAGTCATTTATTATCGCAAAAAGCAGTATTATTTTTACTTTGATGATATCCATTTGTAATATAGACATCTTTCTGTCTTTGTGCATCTCTATTGGACTCTCAGCTTGGAGGTAAAAGTGTCAGAATTCATAGTTTTATATTTAATTATCTGATTCAAATGTTTATGAACTGCATTATTGTTGAGAAACCAATGCATTATGTGTCCTTTGTTCTTCATATCAACTTCTTGTAACCAGTGGTGGAATGAAATATTTAATGTTGTGTACATTCAAAGTACTTTACTTGAGTATTTACTTCTTCTCCATTGCATCTAGAGGTCATTTTTGTAGTTTTGACTCTAGTATATAGACCGCTTAAGTTACTTTTCAGAGTACAGTTTTTAACCCCCCTCTGATTTTGAGTGTCACCTGAAATGTGACTTGAACTTTCTTACTAAGCCAAATAAACTAGAAAATGATCTGGAAAATCCATCGTCACAAAGCAGAAAACGGGGCTATTTTACTGATAAATAATAATACAAATGTGACTTTTAGAGATACGTTGTTCTCACAGTACAGTGGCAAAGCTTCAAATATATGAGGACTTTATAAAATGTGATGTATTGCTGCAGGTTAGACTACCCCAAATGTTAAAATAAGCACAGCTGAAGCAGTAAAACACAACATACACACTAATTCAGCAGTAAGATTAATCAGGTTTAATAGAAAACATAGACAGGGAACCAGTGGCGGTTCTAGACCAATTTGACAGGGGGGGCCACTGGGGGGCCAGTTATTTTCTGAGGGGGGCACAATAAATGCAGGACGAAAAAGAGAACTAGACAGTATGAAGTAATTGCGCATAAGAAAACAATGCAATACAGTTATTGGTATTTGTTTCAGTACACTTATTTATTTCAGATAGATCTTATAGTTATTACTGTTATTAAGTTATAGTGCAATGTTTGCACTCACACCATATTTATATAAAAATAAAGGCAATGAACAGTTACATCTCTACTTTACATAAGGGTGTCTGCACAATCTCACATTACAGAAACAAAATCCTGCGGTTTTTGGCAAACCGAGTACCAGAAAATATACATTTTAAAAAAAAAACAATAACTTTTCATTGTTAGGGGAGCCACAGGTCAGTGTTAGGGGGCACTGCCCCCCCCTGCCCCCCCTAGAACCGCCCCTGCAGGGAACATAACTGCACAATACATATTGTAACTCTCCATCCTTCAGGTACATTTAGCTGATTATACCGCTACTAGTGTTTCTTCCACCACTGGTGTTAACCTTCCTTTCTCCCCCTGAAAAGTCTCATCACATGACAGCGCACTGTTTTCTGGATGTTTGTCATTAACCACCTTCTGACATTTTTGAGCAGAGGTCCTACAGAGCTTCTTATGAGAAAACCAAGGATAAGTTCACCATTACTACAGATGATCCTAGATACAAGCTGGCCAAAGCAAACAACAAGATGAGCCAGGTAACGTCCTGCTGGAGCTGAAACCACCGGCCTGCCTCTTCCTCTTCCTCCTCCTCCAGACCTCTGCTCTGATGCATGAGGTCATCCACAGACCTGCCGGGGGTCTGCGGCGCATGACGGCGCTATGTCTGTGTTTATCAGTCCCACAGAGGTCGATGCAGGCACTCACAAATAGCAGCTGGACGGTTGTGTTGAGTGAGCCTCTATCTGTGCCATCAGACAGACGGTTGAATCGACCCATGATTACATATTTAATATCTTTATATGATGTCCAAGCAAGGTCGCAATTGGAAGATTTTTAACAGACAGTTTAATCACTCATATTCCCATGATAACATGTGACATATTTATTTATTTTTACACATTTTTGGTGGCAATTGGAAGATTTGTAACAACATCCTGGATCCATCTTTTCTTATATACCTTTACATTATAATTGTTGTCATTTGGGTTGTCTATGTTTATAATTGTATCAACTTTTTTAATCTATACACACAACATCTATTACAAGTCTGTGATAAAAGGGAGAGTGATCCCTCCTCGCCTAGTTTTTTTTCCATTTTACCCGTAATTGTGGGGTTTCAGTGGGAGCTTTCCTTGTTTCTGCGAGGGTCTTAGGACAGAAAGTGTCATATTAAATCCCCCTTAGACAAATGTGTAATTTGCGACATTGGGATTATAAATACATTTTCTTTTTTTACAATATCTGTCACTCTGAAGGCACAGATGAGGACAAACAGCTCCACTTGGATCTCCGGAGTACTGCTCCAGTCCTCTCAGTGTTTCTGCTGTTTTACATGTGTCCTCAACTATGGCATGCTGTATGTGTGTGTGTGTATGTGTGTGTGTACAGGCAAAGTATAAATCCAAAGCAAAGAGTCTTCTTAAGAGCGGTTGCAATGAGCTCCGCCGCCCTGACATCCTCTCGGCTCTTTACCAGTCCACTTTGAGCAGTAAGGTAAACAGCCTCAGAGATGAACCACCTGTTTACATTCAATAATACCTGTGTAGTCAACAGGTTACATTGTTTTTATTGACTGCCATCTCTCAACAAGGTCTTATAACATCTCAAAGTCATCCAATTAAAACTCCTTTCCTCCATTCAACTCCTGAAGGGGTTTTAACTTCCACACTTCGCACCATTCTCCTTCACGCTAAAAAAAAACATCCATCACCAATTCGTTTTGCTTCATGTGTCATTGATGCCTTGCAGTAGTTGCACACCAGCAGAGTGACGTATCTAGAGTCAGAAATGGATCTAATTGATGCATTACAGTCAGAATTTGAGGCAGAGACAAAAGATATGATTTCTATTTTACTATAACGCCAAATATACTTGACTGTCACTGTCTTCTCTAGAGTAAACCTCATGTTTTTGAAGCCACTCTACAGTATATATATCAGCCTCAGATTGACAGTGATCCATAGATTAAGATGGACTGCTGGTCAGCGTGGGTACTGCTGACTTTCATGACTGAATCGTGGTAACACATGTCTTCATTTTCACCTGGAAAATAACTGTTCTGCACGTTTCATAAAGCATCTTATACTAACATATGCATGGCACCATTTCACTCATTACACATGTTAGCTATCTGTTTCTGAAGTAGTTCATATACTGTTAGAGAACTATCCAAGAAGAAAGAAGTGAATGAAAAACGAAAGAAACAGATTTTTCTTTCAACTTCACTTTATTTAATTATAACAACTCATTTAAAGCCATATAAAATACTTCTTTTACTTTGTCTTTTCTCGTCACCAAATCATTCATCCCTTTTCACCGTCATTTACTAAAATTGTTAAAATCCACAAACCATTCACTGAAACTAACATTTCACAGATACATTTCCGCCTTTTCTTGGATAGTTTTTACCGTTACTTGACCGTTAAAGACAGAAATATACATGAATAAAAGCAAGTTAACACATTGACACATTTTCTACGAGTGGTGCTAACTTTGTTGTGTTCAAACCCTTCATCAGTGGAAGTACAAGGAGCAGTATGAGCGTGCAAAGGACAAGTTCACCTCAATCCTGGAGACTCCAGAGTACGAGGCGCACAAACGCAGCAAGAAGATCCATGACGTGAGTTTCTGGATTCTTCTCCATTCTTTTGTTATTTCTAAACTTTAATATTGGTGTATTCTGAGTTGCTCCTGACTATGTGATCCTGTTAATCCCTTAGATCATCTACAAAATGGAGTACAACAAGACCAAGGCTAAGGGATACACCTTGCCTTACGACACCCCTCACGGGCAGCACATGAAGAGAGTGAAGGAAATCACCAGCAACGTGAGTCCCACTCAGACACCCTGCACTGTTATCTTCTACAGAGACATCGGAAGCCAAAATATACGATACGATAATACGATTTACTTGAATGGTCAGATCAAGTCTGAAATGTTACTTGCATCACAGCAGCTCCATGAATACTTGCCAACCCTCCCGATTTTCGCGGGAGACTCCCGATTTCATAGCCCTCTCCCGGTTTCCTCCCAGGGTCATATTTCTCCCGATTTCTGACAAAATCTGATTTACTCACGACTGTTTCCACTCGGACTTTAATACAGCTATACTATTGTTTGGTTTCCATGGTAGCGCGTCTCTTTAGTAGCGCGTGGAACTGAAAGTCTGAGAGGGTGAGGAAGAAGATAGTCACAGTAAACTGAACAAGAATCGACAACTCTACCCTCTGCTCACTCCTTTCCTGTATATATACAGGTCCAGCCCACATATGCTCCATCAAGGATGCTGCTTCAGGCCGCGAGGCAGTGCACTTACAGCTACAATAAGCATGTTAATGTTAATCTATAGAAATGTGTATTGATTGGGATAAACCCCTTGAGATGCACCATCTCGTTTTCAAGGGGGTCCCGACAATAGCAACAACTTACAGACATACATAAACAAAAAGACACAATGCAAAACATGACACACAAGACAAACCACATACAGTCTGTTAAGTAAAATTCAAGCAATGCACACAATCATTACAATTTGAGACAGTCGAGCAAATCAGTTTCATCAATATCAGTTATAACAAGTACAGACCAGCTGAAAGTGAGATGATAATGCATGTTTAAACATACCCAATGATGCAAGAGATCAGGAGCAGGTAAAGTATTCCAGTCTGTTACAATCTAATACAGCTCCGGCAGTGGTTTTGAAATCCTACCGATTTCTGAGGTCTCAAGGTTGGCAAGTATGTAACATCAACAGACACATATCAAGACACAATACATGACAAACAAACAAGAAACATTCAACAACAGCACGGTCACTGAGAGAAAACCTGCTCAAAGAGCCTTCAGCGAGCGTTTGATCTGGATTCAGCTCTGTGTTTACTGAGAGGACTGACTGAAGCACAAACTGCCTTCAGACTTCAGACTGACTTTATTGAATCTCCCATTAGATGGTAGCAGTTCATATTCTCTGTTCAGAACATGCTTTGGGTCCCAGATGATGTTGTTGGACAGCCATTTAGGTTGTCATAGAGTCTCTGACAGGGTTGGCCAACAATCTTTGAGCAGATTTTTAACAGGTGGAGCCGTTTTGATTTGAAAGCTGTTGACAAACACTTGTACCAGGTAGTATTGCAGTACTGTAGAATAGACAAACAACAGAATCATTTCTCTGCTCGCCCCGAAAGACCTAAGGCTGCGGAGAAAACGCATTTTAATTTAGGGCGTGTGGCGCAGTGGGTTGTGCGTTGGTGTTCGGATCAGGGGGTCAGGGACAGGTTCAAACCCCACTGCAGTCAGCATGTCATTGTGTCCCTAAGACACTTCACCCCAAATTGCTCTCCTGTGGGGATTGTCCACATTGTTGAGTATGTAAGTCGCTTTGGATAAAAGCGAGTAACATGTCATGTCATTTGAAATCATTTGGTGTTTTTTTTCTCTTGCAGCTGAAGTACAGAGAAGTGTATGAGAAGAGCAAGGCCCAGATCAACATAGCACCGGACGCTTTCTCGATCCGTGCTGCCAAGGAGGCCTACAAGAACACCAGCAATGTAAGTGTCTTCAGTGCAGGAATTAAGGATGGATTGAAATTGAAAATGTGAAAATATTGAATAAATATTGGGGGTTTTTTCCTCGGTTTTCAGCTTGACTACAAGAAGAAGTATGAAGCCACCAAGAACAAGTGGATCTGGACGACAGACAGACCCGACTTCCTCAATAATGCCAAGAACACCCTGCAACAGAGTGACGTAAGTAAATGTGTTTTATTCAATGAAATGCTGCCACACAACAAAAACAACAAATTAAATGAACTGTCAACATATTTCAGAATCTCAATATACATCTTTTACAATAATAAAAAACATATTGCTTTTCCAAAAAGGAGTAGGATGATGTGTACACTTATGTGGTCGTACCTCTTCTCCTTAACTTAAAAACAACTCCCTCTTCTTTAGATGTTGCATTCTTTTTTTTAACAACATCCAACAGCATTTGTTATCCATTGTTTCACCCACAGGTTGAGTACAAGTATGACAAAGAGTCGATGAAGGGCTGTGTGATCCCCGTGGTGGATGATAAGTTTACCCTCCTGGCGATGAAAAACAACGAAATGTACAGTGAAGTAAGTATTTCCCACATCGTTACATCTCTATGTATGATTCGATGGAATTACTCCAGATCGCAAATGACAATACATCTTCAGACTTAGATGTTGAACCGGTTGTAATCTGTGTTTGTTGCTGCTCTCCAGTTGAAGTACAGAGAGAAGTATGAGAAGTCAAAGGGCCACTACCAGCCCATCAGCGACACTCCTCAAATCCTCCATGCCAAGGCTGTGCGCAGTTTGGCATCAGAGGTAAGTGTTATTCTGAAAAACAACGTATTTTGAAACAGTCAGACATGTCACACTAAATGGTGTTTTATTCACTTTGAAGAAGCCCTATAATATTGTCTCTTTCCTTTAGTGTGTTTTATAGATTTGAGTACATGTCAATGGTTTGCAAAGGCTAAAATCCCAAAGTTGAGGAAGTATGAGAAAAATAAAGACCCTTTTGAACGTTATAGCATGGACACATGTCACAGTGTAGGCACAAAATACAAATATGAACCTGAAAATGAGCCTCATATGTCCTCCTTGTTTATATAAGTTCTTCATTTTCATCCTCAGAGCAAATACAAGGAGGCCAGTAAGAAGGAGATGCAGTCCGGCTCGTTCACCACGCTGTCTGAGACCCGTGACACCGTCCACAGCAAGGAGATCAACAAGCTTATCAGCGGGGTACAACTTCCTCACATTCATTTATTATTTATATTTTCCACATGTAAATATATATATATATTTTGGACTGTTTATTTCTGTGTCTTAATTTCTCTTGTGTACATTGCCTTGTGTTTTTTATGCTGCTGCAATGCAAACATTTCCCAAATTGAGATCTACCTACCTACCTACCTACCTACCTACCTACCTACCTACCTACCTACCTACCTACCTACCTACCTACCTACCTACCTACCTACCTACCTACCTACCTACCTACCTACCTACCTACCTACCTACCTACCTACCTACCTACCTACCTACCTACCTACCTACCTACCTACCTACCTACCTACCTACCTACCTACCTACCTACCTACCTACCTACCTACCTACCTACCTACCTACCTACCTACCTACCTACCTACCTACCTACCTACCTACCTACATTCATTCATTCATTCATTCATATTCCTTTCCTTCCTTGCAGAAACTGTACAAAGCGAAGTTTGAGAAGGATAAGGGCAAGTCTGTTTACAACAACATGGTCGTTCCACCTGAAGTTCAGCACGCCATGGGAGTCGCCAAGAGCCAGAGCAACGTGAGTAATCCAAAAAACCCATAGGACAAAAAAACTAATGTAAAAGCACGAGACAATAAAACCATACTTATAGCCACAGACTGAAAACGCTCATACATGATGTAAGAACATTTTAAATCAACAAAATAGTAATCCCCAAAAGTGCTAAATAACATTTTATGGACAGCATTTCAAGATTCAAGGCTTTTATTATTAATCATGTGTACATTATTGTGTATTGTGTTTTTAGCACTTCTTCATTCATGTGATGTTTGAATGCTTTCTCCAGCACTTTGTGACTGACTGTGAAAAGCGCTTTATAAATACATTTTACTTGCTTACTTACTTAGCTACAGTGTAGATATATCAATGAAAATCTGAGGTCACAGGCTCCAACAGTGCAACACGATAAAACTGATAAAATAGTGCAAGTAAATACAAATAAAATAGAATAGAAATAGTGCAGAATATTCTTTATACAAGTAATTGGAATATTGATACAAGTTGCAAACAGATGAATGTTATGGATGTTCTTTCAAACGTTCCGGTGTTTAACAGTCTTAGTGGGATGAATCTTCATGTTTCAAATCCTTTCACATTTTCTGGTGCATAGTTGTATTGTGTCTGATGTGCTGCCTTCCTAACCCTTCAGATTCAATACAAGAAGGATGCCAAAGCCAACCTGCACTACACGAGTGTGGCCGACCGTCCCGACATCAGGAAGGCGACCCAGGCTGCCAAGCTGATCAGTGAAGTAAGCAGCAATTTAATGAACATGTACTGTAGGTTAAATACTTAAAGGTCACCTATTGTGCAAAATCCACTTGTTCATGTCTCTTCTACATCAACATGTGTCCCCTCTTCTACATCAACATGTGTCCCCTCTTCTTCATGTCTCTTCTACATCAACATGTGTCCCCTCTTCTTCATGTCTCTTCTACATCAGCATGTGTCCCCTCTTCTTCATGTCTCTTCTACATCAGCATGTGTCCCCTCTTCTTCATGTCTCTTCTACATCAGCATGTGTCCCCTCTTCTTCATGTCTCTTCTACATCAACATGTGTCCCCTCTTCTTCATGTCTCTTCTACATCAACATGTGTCCCCTCTTCTTCATGTCTCTTCTACATCAACATGTGTCCCCTCTTCTTCATGTCTCTTCTACATCAACATGTGTCCCCTCTTCTTCATGTCTCTTCTTCATCAACATGTGTCCCCTCTTCTTCATGTCTCTTCTACATCAACATGTGTCCCCTCTTCTCCATGTCTCTTCTACATCAACATGTGTCCCCTCTTCTTCATGTCTCTTCTACATCAACATGTGTCCCCTCTTCTTCATGTCTCTTCTACATCAACATGTGTCTCCTCTTCTTCATGTCTCTTCTACATCACCATGTGTCCCCTCTTCTCCATGTCTCTTCTACATCAACATGTGTCTCCTCTTCTTCATGTCTCTTCTACATCACCATGTGTCCCCTCTTCTTCATGTCTCTTCTACATCAACATGTGTCCCCTCTTCTTCATGTCTCCTCTACATCAACATGTGTCTCCTCTTCTCCATGTCTCTTCTACATCAGCATGTGTCCCCTCTTCTTCGTGTCTCTTCTACATCAACATGTGTCTCCTCTTCTTCATGTCTCTTCTACATCAACATGTGTCCCCTCTTCTTCATGTCTCTTCTACATCAGCATGTGTCCCCTCTTCTTCATGTCTCTTCTACATCAACATGTGTCTCCTCTTCTTCATGTCTCTTCTACATCAACATGTGTCCCCTCTTCTTCATGTCTCTTCTACATCAACATGTGTCCCCTCTTCTTCATGTCTCTTCTACATCAACATGTGTCCCCTCTTCTCCATGTCTCTTCTACATCAACATGTGTCCCCTCTTCTTCATGTCTCTTCTACATCAACATGTGTCCCCTCTTCTTCATGTCTCTTCTACATCAACATGTGTCCCCTCTTCTTCATGTCTCTTCTACATCAACATGTGTCCCCTCTTCTCCATGTCTCTTCTACATCAACATGTGTCCCCTCTTCTCATGTCTTCTTCTACATCAACATGTGTCTCCTCTTCTTCATGTCTCTTCTACATCAACATGTGTCCCCTCTTCTTCATGTCTCTTCTACATCAACATGTGTCCCCCTCTTCTTCATGTCTCTTCTACATCAACATGTGTCCCCTCTTCTCCATGTCTCTTCTACATCAACATGTGTCCCCTCTTCTTCATGTCTCTTCTACATCAACATGTGTCCCCTCTTCTTCATGTCTCTTCTACATCAACATGTGTCCCCTCTTCTTCATGTCTCGTCTACATCAACATGTGTCCACCTCTTCTTCATGTCTCTTCTACATCAACATGTGTCCCCTCTTCTTCATGTCTCTTCTACATCAACATGTGTCCCCTCTTCTTCATGTCTCTTCTACATCAACATGTGTCCCCTCTTCTTCATGTCTCTTCTACATCAACATGTGTCTCCTCTTCTTCATGTCTCTTCTACATCAACATGTGTCCCCTCTTCTTCATGTCTCTTCTACATCAACATGTGTCCCCTCTTCTTCATGTCTCTTCTACATCAACATGTGTCCCCTCTTCTTCATGTCTCTTCTACATCAACATGTGTCCCCTCTTCTTCATGTCTCTTCTACATCAACATGTGTCCCCTCTTCTTCATGTCTCTTCTACATCAACATGTGTCCCCCTCTTCTCCATGTCTCTTCTACATCAACATGTGTCCCCTCTTCTTCATGTCTCTTCTACATCAACATGTGTCTCCTCTTCTTCATGTCTCTTCTACATCAACATGTGTCTCCTCTTCTTCATGTCTCTTCTACATCAACATGTGTCCCCTCTTCTTCATGTCTCTTCTACATCAACATGTGTCCCCTCTTCTTCATGTCTCTTCTACAATCAACATGTGTCCCCTCTTCTCCATGTCTCTTCTACATCACCATGTGTCCCCTCTTCTTCATGTCTCTTTCTACATCAACATGTGTCCCCTCTTCTCCATGTCTCTTCTACTACATCAACATGTGTCCCCTCTTCTCCATGTCTCTTCTACATCAACATGTGTCCCCTCTTCTTCATGTCTCTTCTACATCAACATGTGTCTCCTCTTCTTCATGTCTCTTCTACATCAACATGTGTCCCCTCTTCTTCATGTCTCTTCTACATCAACATGTGTCCCCTCTTCTTCATGTCTCTTCTACATCAACATGTGTCCCCTCTTCTCCATGTCTCTTCTACATCAACATGTGTCCCCTCTTCTTCATGTCTCTTTCTACATCAACATGTGTCCCCTCTTCTTCATGTCTCTTCTACATCAACATGTGTCCCCTCTTCCTTCATGTCTCTTCTACATCAACATGTGTCCCCTCTTCTTCATGTCTCTTCTACATCAACATGTGTCCCCTCTTCTTCATGTCTCTTCTACATCAAACATGTGTCCCCTCTTCTTCATGTCTCTTCTACATCAACATGTGTCCCCCTCTTCTTCATGTCTCTTCTACATCAACATGTGTCTCCTCTTCTTCATGGTCTCTTCTACATCAACATGTGTCCCCTCTTCTTCATGTCTCTTCTACATCAACATGTGTCCCCTCTTCTTCATGTCTCTTCTACATCAACATGTGTCCCCTCTTCTTCATGTCTCTTCTACATCAACATGTGTCCCCTCTTCTTCATGTCTCTTCTACATCAACATGTGTCCCCTCTTCTTCATGTCTCTTCTACATCAACATGTGTCCCCTCTTCTCCATGTCTCTTCTACATCAAACATGTGTCCCCTCTTCTTCATGTCTCTTCTACATCAACATGTGTCTCCTCTTCTTCATGTCTCTTCTACATCAACATGTGTCCCCTCTTCTTCATGTCTCTTCTACATCAACATGTGTCCCCTCTTCTTCATGTCTCTTCTACATCAACATGTGTCCCCTCTTCTCCATGTCTCTTCTACATCAACATGTGTCCCCTCTTCTTCATGTCCTCTTCTACATCAACATGTGTCCCCTCTTCTTCATGTCTCTTCTACATCAACATGTGTCCCCTCTTCTTCATGTCTCTTCTACATCAACATGTGTCCCCTCTTCTTCATGTCTCTTCTATATCAACATGTGTCCCCTCTTCTTCATGTCTCTTCTACATCAACATGTGTCCCCTCTTCTTCATGTCTCTTCTACATCAACATGTGTCCCCTCTTCTCCATGTCTCTTTTACATCAACATGTGTCCCCTCTTCTTCATGTCTCTTCTACATCAACATGTGTCCCCTCTTCTTCATGTCTCTTCTACATCAACATGTGTCCCCTCTTCTTCATGTCTCTTCTACATCAACATGTGTCCCCTCTTCTTCATGTCTCTTCTACATCAACATGTGTCCCCTCTTCTTCATGTCTCTTCTACATCAACATGTGTCCCCTCTTCTTCATGTCTCTTCTACATCACCATGTGTCCCCTCTTCTTCATGTCTCTTCTACATCACCATGTGTCCCCTCTTCTTCATGTCTCTTCTACATCACCATGTGTCCCCTCTTCTTCATGTCTCTTCTACATCAAACATGTGTCCCCTCTTCTTCATGTCTCTTCTACATCAACATGTGTCCCTCTTCTCCATGTCTCTTCTACATCAACATGTGTCCCCCTCTTCTTCATGTCTCTTCTACATCAACATGTGTCCCCTCTTCTTCATGTCTCTTCTACATCAACATGTGTCCCCTCTTCTTCATGTCTCTTCTACATCAACATGGTCCCCTCTTCTCATGTCTCTTCTACATCAACATGTGTCCCCTCTTCTTCATGTCTCTTCTACATCAACATGTGTCCCCCTCTTCTTCATGTCTCTTCTACATCAACATGTGTCCCCTCTTCTTCATGTCTCTTCTACATCAACATGTGTCCCCTCTTCTCCATGTCTCTTCTACATCAACATGTGTCCCCTCTTCTTCATGTCTCTTCTACATCAACATGTGTCCCCTCTTCTTCATGTCTCTTCTACATCAACATGTGTCCCCTCTTCTTCATGTCTCTTCTACATCAACATGTGTCCCCTCTTCTTCATGTCTCTTCTACATCAACATGTGTCCCTCTTCTTCATGTCTCTTCTACATCAACATGTGTCCCCTCTTCTTCATGTCTCTTCTACATCAACATGTGTCCCCTCTTCTTCATGTCTCTTCTATATCAACATGTGTCCCCTCTTCTTCATGTCTCTTCTACATCAACATGTGTCCCCTCTTCTTCATGTCTCTTCTATATCACCATGTGTCCCCTCTTCTTCATGTCTCTTCTACATCAACATGTGTCCCCTCTTCTTCATGTCTCTTCTACATCAACATGTGTCTCCTCTTCTTCATGTCTCTTCTACATCAACATGTGTCCCCTCTGTGGAAAGAGACTCTGAAAGTTTCAGGAACAAAGATTCTCTCTCTTTTTGATCCATTTCTATAAAAACCTGTCTGAAAATGAGCTGATCAGATTTTGGCCACTTTATGATGTCATAACGATGTTTTGTCTTGTGTAACCATTAGCCAATCAGCAACCAAGGTAACCCCCCCCCCCCCCCACCTTATCACCTGAATCTCCTCCTAGAGCACCATTGAGTTCTTTGTAACCAAATCTCTCTCAGAGGGGCGTGGGGAGGGGCTCCTTTTTTTCATCTAAAGTAACAGACAGAAAATCAGCACTTTGGAAACAGGGCTGAAGCACAGGGGATTATGGGTAATGCTGCAATGATCTGTTTGGTGTTTCAGCCAATCAGAGACAGGCTCTGTATATATCTGAGACCTGTGATATACTGATGAAGAACAGTATAATAGGGGGCCTTTAAAGCTGCACATAGAAAGGCAGAAATAAGCTAAATCTCATTCTGCACAAGGTTCATTCACTACCACGGTTAACCATGAAGAATTAAATCCTAATATATTCCCTAAACTTTAATAATTACAAACCCAGATGTTTACTTTACGATTATTATGGCAAAAATATTTTAAGAAAGATATATTGTTGTGTTTTATCTCTTTTGACAAATGAATTACTCTCATTTGTGTGTGGAAGGAGACAGAGGGAGAACAGTAAAGGAAGAACTATTACACAATATTATTACATATGTATTCCTATTGTGATATGTCTTCACATGAATCGTCTATATCTGTATATCAACATCACAATACCTAAGTATAAGCCCACCATCTATGAAGCCAGATTTATGTTGAAGCCACAACAACAACTCAAATCCCTATAAGAGCAAATACAACAGGCCTTTTTCATAAGTGAAAACTGAGGTGTTCCTTGGCTCATGCTACACCCTTCCACCGAGTTTTATGGACGTTGTATGAGTCGTGTTTCTGTAATTCTGCTGAATAACTCTAAAAACCGGACCGGATTAATGTCAGCAATCAACAGTAAAGACCCCCGCTGTAGCTCCTCTACTTGTCCACTGATTCTTGATACTTGGTTTTGTTGTCACCAGGTTGGTTACCGTGATAAGGCCCGTGAGGCGGCCAGCCGTGGAGGATCGCTGGCGCACCGCCCAGACATCGCTCTGGCCACTGAGGTGTCCAAGCTGACCAGCCAGGTACAACCATCTGCCCAATGAAACCCTGGGACGCTGCATTCCCACTATTTCCCTTCATATATCTTGGTTATTTAATTATAAAAAATGTTTGCGTCTTTGCAACTTAGAGAGTTGTTAGAGCTGCTGTTTTAATCCTCCTGAGAGACTCTTATAGGGAAACATCAAAGCATCAATAAAACAGGTCACACAAAACACAACCTGGGAACATTTTACATTCATTATATGACCCTCTCCACAGGAAGCCATACAAGGCAACTTGTTTATCTTCCTCCATCTCTTCCTGTAGTCATAAAACACTTGAACACACACCACCTGTTCTTCTCACACATAGCATCATCACAGTATAACATCTGTCATCTTTCAGGATCCCACTTTGTTAAAAGTTGCATTTCATTATTATTAAACTCATACATTAGGATTTATTAAAGCTTTAATACCATCATTTGCATCACAGAAGGAAGCCCTTTAACCCGAGCAGAGATCTTCCGTCTGGGTGTCATGTTAGCCTCCATATGCTAATATTTGCCCACTAGTAATGCCGAGGTAAAGCTTTGCGAACTTAACGAGCGCTTTCTCTGCCACCCTGCAGTATTTATATATGTGTTAATCTGTCGTTGTGACTCCATGAAAGTACATGTGTAACTGCTCATCTCATTGTACATGTCCTCCATCTTTAAACCTGTCCTCTCCCTCCATCCTTCTTCACTTCTATTCCTCATCTCTTTCCTCTTCCATACCGTCCTGGTCTGTGTGTTTCTCATCCCTCCATCTCACTGCGCTTTGTAGGTGGAGGCCAAGCCCTCCTCCCATGGAGCAGCTTCCTATGATACCCCCCAGATGCGCCACATTAAGAAAATGAGTGCCGTGACTAGTGATGTAAGGAGGTTCATGCCCAGAACCTGACGGGCTGCTACTCTCTGTCTGTCCCCTCTTGTCTTTCTGTTCACTTCATGTCCACCTCGTTGTTTTTTGGCTTTCTCTGCACCCTCTGCACTTTTGTTTCCCCCATAAGCTGTGAAGTGTGTCATCACTGCATTTGTTGCACTGGTAGCACTACTGTACACCTACTGTATCTTTGTTCCACATTTTAAGATCTCAATTAGTCCACGAAATATGTGTTAATCCAGTAGTCCCCATGCACAATATCCTACGTTTTGATCTGGAACCAAGAGGGCAGTTTGAAATGTATTAAACGTGGGTTCAAGTTTACAAAAGTCTTAATTTAATTGTGTTTTTCTGCTGGATTTACACATGTTTTATCTAAGACATTGTTTTAAGGATACTGATTTGTGTCACCGTCTATCCGGAGAACAATTCAGGCGTCCTCTGAAACACTATTTATGTTTCTCACAAGCTGAATTAGGCTTTGTTCACACTGCATCTTAGGTGGTCCGATTAGAGACTTGAAGTTTACAAATTGTCCCTTGAGACTCATTTGAGATGCTTTCTAGTGTGAACTGTAGCCAACCTCAGCTCAGACGCTAGAAACAAAGTCTCTGGATGTCTCCACAGACGACCGGTTTGGTTTTATTCAGAAGCACCTCTCGTGTGATCGCTTTCTGTTGTTTGAAACAAATACTAAGTAGGGTGATCTCTTCTCTCTGAAACCAAACTGCGGATGTGAACACACCCATAGAGACGAGGATTTCTGAAACCAAAAGGGGAAATGTCTTCATGCATGAGAACCACATGTTTATAGGAAACACTGTCGTTTTTCCCGTGTATAACAAGGGATACAATTGGAGTGTTAATATTGAAAAGCAAACCCTTTAAAAAGAAAGGAAGCTGAGTCCCTTTTTATACACTTTTTGTTGTCTTTTGAAATGTTTTCAGTGGGATGGAGTCTGTCAATATTCCGCTGGTTTTGTGTTTTTAAATCTGTCACCTCCTACGCTGACTTTAAACATCTATCCGCCTCTAATAGTTGAAATACAAGGAGAAGTTTGACAAGGAGATGAAGGGAAGGAAACAGCAGTATGACCTGCAGAACAGTAAGATTTACCAGACGCTGAAGGAAGCCACCGTGCTGGCTAGTGAGGTGAGTGCATCAATCTGTTTCATTTTTTTGTACACGGCCCTTATTCTGTCAATCACACCAAGACACGGGTTAGAGTAGTGAAACAAGTTGACTTGAATTTGAAATCTAAGAGAATATTCAAGTGTATTTCTCCTAAATGTATGACTTTTTTTTTGTAAATGTATAACCTTAATATAGTCAACGTTTTTTTCCCGTAAAATGTTATTAAAATTATTAACAATATCAATGTTTTACAAAATAATGAATTCAGATTTAGGGCATTTTTGTAAATTAACAGGAAAAAAAACTCAGATAATCTCTGACATTTAAATTATACATTTACCTGAAAAAATGCAAAAATGTAAGACAGAAAAATTCAATTTCGGACGTGTAATTAGCTAAAGCTTTGTTGTTTATTGATATCAGACAATGATACTACAGATTATTCAATTATTAATTAAATATTTCGTTTTGTTATTGCATTCATTTGTATAGTACTGTATCATGTCTGTATCATCTTTTGTTTCATTTGTATTTTCTTTGGTTTGGGTTTACACTCGAAAAAAATAACTAAACTAAATACATTTTTTCTCAGAGAATATCAAAGTTTATTTCTCCGTAATTCTTTAGATCTTTCATTAACTTTTACTACCACTAGTAGAAAACTGGAAACTCCTAATTTATTAATTGTACTCCTACATTTTATAAAACAAAAGCCTTTATCTTTATACCAAGTATTCACTCACTTTCTTCCATAATCTGAAGACATTACCCTACATACCAAATACAAAGAAACCCCATATTGAGTTATTGTTATTATAATGTCTGCTAACTCTGTCTGCAGGTGAAGTACAAGACAGACTTGAAGAAGCTCCACAAGCCTGTGACCGACATGGCGGAGTCTCTGTCCATGCAGCACAACCTGAGCACCAGCAAACTGTCCAGCACCGTAAGACCCACCCTCCTCTAACCCTCTCACCCCCCCCCCCCCCCCCCAAAACCCCCAAACCCCAAAACCCAGGAAGCATCTGCATGAGTTCAGTTCAGTGTTTCCGCCAGAGGTGGGAAGTAGTGGAGTACAAATACTTCGTTACTGTACTTAAGTACACATTTTTCTGGTATCAATACTTTACTCCACTACTTATTGATCTGACGACTTTTTACTTTGACTTCTATGTAAGAAGTCAAAGTAAAAAGTCGTCAGATCAATAAGTAGTTTGAACACAAATACCTTTACTTTCTACTTCTTACATGTTGAACCCAAATACCTGTACTTTCTACTTCTTACATGTTGAACCCAAATACCTGTACTTTCTACTTCTTACATGTTGAACCCAAATACCTGTACTTTCTACTTCTTACATGTTGAACACAAATACCTGTACTTTCTACTTCTTACATGTTGAACACAAATACCTGTACTTTCTACTTCTTACATGTTGAACACAAATACCTGTACTTTCTACTTCTTACATGTTGATACCTGTACTTTCTACTTCTTACATGTTGAACACAAATACCTGTACTTTCTACTTCTTACATGTTGAACACAAATACCTGTACTTTCTACTTCTTACATGTTGAACACAAATACCTTTACTTTCTACTTCTTACATGTTGAACACAAATACCTTTACTTTCTAAATCTTACATGTTGAACCCAAATACCTGTACTTTCTACTTCTTACATGTTGAACCCAAATACCTGTACTTTCTACTTCTTACATGTTGAACACAAATACCTGTACTTTCTACTTCTTACATGTTGAACACAAATACCTTTACTTTCTACTTCTTACATGTTGAACACAAATACCTTTACTTTCTACTTCTTACATGTTGAACTCAAATACCTGTACTTTCTACTTCTTACATGTTGAACACAAATACCTGTACTTTCTACTTCTTACATGTTGAACACAAATACCTGTACTTTCAACTTCTTACATGTTGAACTCAAATACCTGTACTTTCTACTTCTTACATGTTGAACTCAAATACTTGTACTTTCTACTTCTCTCATTTTACAAACAGCTGGTTCCTTTAGTCTGAATGTGTGTTTGATGCGTGATCATTATTCTTTAGAGTCATTGCGTGCCTATTGATTTGAACACGATCCGTGTATCCATCATTTCCTGGTCTTCTCTAAAGAAGAGGGACCAATGGAAACGTTGTCATGTTGCCGTTGTTCAGCATGGAAACATTCATTAGCTAACAATGACATTATTGTTCTATTAATATAAAGGGAGGTCAGGTACTCTTTAAAGCAGCTGCTAGTTATGGGTACTTTTTACTGAAGTACATTACAAAGCCCACTTTACTTTGACTTGAGTAAAGAAGTTTAGTCAGTACTTCTACTTGTACCAGAGTATTTTTAAACACCAGTATCTGTACTTCTACTTGAGTAAAGGATGCGTGTACTTTTGCCATCTCTGGTTTCCTCTGCACTGAAACGTGTCTGAACTCAGTGTTTCCATCACCTCACGGCACATTAACCGTCTACATGCATCTCATGAACTTAACTCCATCTCCTAAACATCCTCTGACCTCTGACCTCATCTGGTAGTGACCCTTCTCACCCTTTTTACCTTTTGAACCTCCCATACTATCCCTTTCCTTTTAATCTAAACTCCTTTACTCCTCCCATTTCGTGTTTTTCCTCCTGTAGTTTGTACCAAACTCTCATTAATGATCACTTAACACAATCCCCCCTCTTCCTCCATTGATTATCGACCATTCATAATATAGTTAACTACCTTTTAGGGCTGCACAATTAACAGAAATTCTATATGGCTTAGTGGAAAATCCCAATCGCAGGAGGTAAAGTTATTGTAAAAATATGTAAAAATACAATTTCGGATTAAGTATTGTGATATGTCACAAAGTGTATTCGACAGACTTTTAAACAAATGTTTGTTTCGTGCAGATTATGTTAAAATCACACCATTTAATAGATTTTTTATGGATAATAATGACGCAAAAATCTCTTTGGGAATTATATTGCAAAAGTCGTTTTTTTCACACTGTGCAGCCCTAACTTCCATCCTGAGTCTCCCTCATTGTTTTCTCAGCATGTCATGTATTTTGACATTGTTCTTTTTTGAAGTTGTAATTCTACTATTTCTTTCTGTCATTAAATATGAGACTTTATTGTAACTATGTAATGGATGGGAGTAAACGGCAGACAAAACGCTTTTTCCCCCACTTCCTGTACTGAGCTGTTTTACTTGATTGGGAACCCCCCCCCCCTCTTAGTACTGCTACAAGAAGAAATTTGAGGAGAGTAAGGGTCACTACCATATGATTGCTGACACACCAGAATCGCTTCATCACAAGGAGGCCACTGAGCTCCAGAGCAACGTAAGTGAAACTGACTTTAGGGGGGGCAACAAACACCCCTCCCTCCCAAAATAAAAAACACTGCTGTGGGTTCAAACTGTTTACAATGTCCACTGTCAAAGAAATTGCGATAGCTTCAATTCCTGCACACACAGAAGAGGGTTTTTGCACATATGTGTTAATAATTGAAGTTGCTAGCTTGGCAACACGCAAAAATGTATACTGATATAATACATGGTAACATTTGAGTGTCACATTGCATATGTTCCCTTACATATACAATACATTAATAAGAAAGGCATTTGAAATGAGACACAACTCAAAGTCCTGCAACTCAAACAAGATTTCTTATCATTTAAACGTCTAAAGGTGCCGATTACAGACTGATTTAATCATTTTTTTAAACGTGTTCTCATTCTTTAAAGGACAATACTAGTGGTTTGCAAGCTGTATCATTAACTTAGTGTATGTTTACTGTTACTGTTTACCCATTTTGCATTTTATGGTGTCATGTTTTTGACTTCATAATGTCTGGTAACCACAAGTTCCCAAATAATGCCTTTTCGGTATAAGATTCAATTATAAAATCATAGAAAAAATGCCTTATCACGATATTTCTTCACATCGTTAAACTCGTATTCATTTTTGAGATATTTATCTATTTAAATGTATTTCACGCTTTCAGGCAAGGCGGTATTTGTAGCATACTGAAATGAATGCAACCCCTAACTTATACTATGTGTCTCCGTTATATGTGCTGCTGTCCAGGTGAAGTACAAGGAGAAGTATGAGAAGGAGAAGGGAAAGGCCATGCTGGACTTTGAGACGCCGACATATGTGACGAATAAGGAGTCTCAGCACATGCAGAGCCAGGTAAACAATCTGTCTCTTCTGTGGTTCAAATGGATATAACACACTTCATTTGACAGGCTTCTCTCTCAGTCTGGAGACTCCTGAATGCCTGCTGCTGTACAGTATATATTAACTTGTATCGTGATGAGTCTTTAAATTATGATACGCCACAGCTTGTTGAATGTCCCGCTAATGTTTTAAGTTAGACGAACGTTTGGAAAAACATTTACAGTGCCTTCATTGCCCGTTTATTTAATCAAGATGTTGTTTCAGTGGATATTAGGGACAATGTTGATTTTAGACACGATACATTTAGTCCCTCGCCATTTCTTATACCTTAAATAAACTGGGAGAAGGCAGTGTAAATGTTTTTAAATGTATGCAATGCAGGCATTTTGTTGTCTTCTAATACTGTGTATATACGTTGAGAGTGCTTATAGTTACTCCCAGGATGCAGCAGTGGCAAAGGTAAAGTATAGGTTTGTCTTTGTTTATAAAGATTCCTACTGATAATTTAATTAGTTCAAACTTTAGAGCTGCTTTCCTGACATTAAACACCTCCTACACTCAGACCCGGCGTCACGTGGGGGCCCTTCCAGGATTTTGGCACTCAGAAATAGGCGTTATTATTGTTCATTTGTAGGCCATGGATATACATTAAGAGAACATGTACATTGCGTATATTGAAAGATCATTTTGGTGTAAAATAAACAGTTGGAGGTGACGTTAAACGTACATTTTTCAATGATTGAGACATGTTCTTTGCTTGTAAATGAGGCCAGAACACATAACAAATGATAAAAATCCCCTTCAGGTCCAGTTAGTCCGAATGTTTGTGTTGTTACAACTAAATCACTATGGTGGCTCGAAACTGGGTACACATATTAGAGAATAACGGTTTAATTTCTTAGTCTGCAGCCCTGGTGGAATGGTAAATATATGAAATGCAAATATATGTGTGCAACTATGTTCAGATCAATGAATTCCAGATGAACTTAGAGACGTAAAGATGGGCAGATATGCTTATAATAAATCAGCAAGATCAATAAACCAGGAAGTTAAGCGCCCACCTATGGATTTAGATCTGCTACAAATGCACTCGTACACAAGCACAAGTACTAAAGACTTCTAATACGGGATTTGGTATCATCGTATGGTCGGCGTTGCTGACCAGAGAGAGGTAACTTCTGCATTGTGAACCTGCACTGCTGCATGTTGTAAGCTCTGTCTGTCTGTCCCTTGTCTTTGCTGCCAATAGAAAGACTATAAGAAGGACTTTGAGGAGAACATGAGGGGCAGAAACCTCTCATCGCTCGAGGTGACTCCTGCCATGACACATGTCAGGCACGCCACCCAAATAATGAGCGAGGTAACTAAAGGACGACTTGTTCCTGACAAGCTCACCCATTCTTTATAATCATACTAAGACTGTATCACAACCACGGCCCCTCTTCATTTCCAACACTTGTTACTATTTAATCCTACGAGTGCTTCCTTTTTTCTTGACTTCTTGCAGCTTCATCCCGCTGTTAGGTTTTAGTTTGTTTGCATGATTCACTGCACAGCTTTAAAGAGGCCCAATTAGGCTTTTTTAGGATTTTCCATTTCCTGCAGTGTGTTGTATAGATTTTAGTGCATGTAAATGGTCTTCAAAGGCTAAAATCATTTTGTTTTTGACTCCAACTTGTATTCAGGAAAATTCAGTTTTTTTGTTTCGTAAGATAGTGACATTCCTATATACCACTTGCGCTTCTATTGGCTAGCTCTCCAACACATTGTACGTGATAGGCTAAGGGGCGGGACAAGTCTAAGTAGTTGACCAATCACAACAGAGCCGGCCAGCTAACCAATCAGAGCAGACTGGGCTCTGGTTTCAGACAGAGGGTGAAAAGAGGTGCTGCAGCACAGTCAGTATGAGAAGAGCTTTTTGAACAGTAGAACCACTAAATACAAAAATGGGTCCGTTTAATTCATCAATTTATTTTATCTCTATCCATAGTATCCATAGTATCCATAGTATCCATAGTATAGTATTGTTGGTGTTAAATGTGTGTCCATTTGCATCTTGTTATCCTAATTTCCCAATCAGAAGACGACTAACAGCTTAATGTTATGCATGCAATCACATCATTCAATGAAAGTGAAATGCTGTTGTTGTTTTTGTTTCATCGTCTGTACGACAAAATGTGGTTCACATTTTCTTTGATCAGGTTTCTTGCCAAAGTCACCAATATCTCCAATACAATATTCACTGTTTAAGAATGATAAATTAGACCTAATCTATTGCAGCTTAAGCTTTGTTTCTATCAGGAAGTGTGGTGACTTTGAGCTCTGTTCTGTCTGTCTGTATGCTTCGGCCTGGCCTGCCTGTTTGCCCTTCTCGCATTGTCTCTGTTCTTCTTCCGTCCTGTAGAAAGAGTACAGGAGGGATCTAGAAGAGGGAGTGAAGGGTAAAGGGCTAACTTTACTGGAGGAAACTCCGGAGCTTTTGAGAGCAAGGAATGCCACTCATATCCTAAGTGAGGTACGACCGACTGAGAGGAGATGGAGACAGTCTCTCAACGAGTGCCTTCCCACAATCCATCTGCTGAACCCTTTCCTCTTAACTAAGCTTCACCCTCACACTAAAAAGGGTGACTGCTGGGTTTGACCCCTTCGCTTCATGACTTCACTAACTTTCCCAGCACACTCCTTTTCTTTTATTTCCATCAAATGTTCTCTTCTTGAAATGCACCTTCACCCTGTTTGATGTTCCCACGATGTTCTCTTATACTCATGTGTTGTAAACATTTCAAAAGTCAACTTTAAATCGATTCAAAGCATAGTTAGTTTTTTATGAAAGTACTTTTTCTCAATTCACAGCACATGTACGTAGATAGACAAGCACCTGCAATACAGAGGAAGCCAGACAAATGCTAATCTATTGTAAAATATAGTAATAAAATGTTTTGATCAAGATTGCATCAAAGCCTATCTTCAACTGAAGTTCATTATTTGTTGAGATATGCTCTCTGTGCTTTTTAGGACTGTACCCGAATATCCGAATATTCGTTCGTTGGAGTAATATTCGGGTTTCAATTTCGTTATTCGGATTTGTTTTCGTTGTTGTTGTTGCCGCGCTGTACTGCGGCTGCCAAATTGAATTGATTGAATTCTCCAATATCAACGTAAGAGCTTGTGCCTCTTCGGGGGGTGCTAATACTTAACCATAAATGTTATCGTTTACTTTCTCCGTCTTTATATGTAGATATGACTTTTTCTCGGTTAATCTCCGTCACGTTGTTTCCATAGCAACAACAACTTCCTATCAACAGCGCTACCTCTCCTTCAAAATAAAAGCATGTCTATAAAAAAAACCACATGAGTTTATTTAAAATGCCTAATCCTGCTTTAACACACTGTCCTTAACTCCTTTTTTCCTCCAGTTTTGAGTGGGACACCCAATCTGCTGTCCAATTGACCTTTTTAAAAATCCTAATTGCCTCTAACTCTTCTTTATTCACCATTCCCCTAGACTTTTGGTTTTGCAGCCCCACTGAGTGTGAATGAGTAACACTTTCATATCTGCTTTTTGCAAACACAGAGCTTTTATGTAACACTTTGTTGCCTGTTATATTTACAGAGAGAGTACAAGAAGTCGCTGGAAACTGATATTAAGGGCAGGGGGATGATGGCTTTGGCGACAGACACTCCTGACTTCATGAGGGCGAAGAACGCTACTGACATCCTCAGTCAGGTGGGAATCAGACTGAATATTTAGAAAACATTTCAGAGAGCACATCTGGTGTTTGTATGTCTGTGTTGAGCAGAGATGGGAAGTAGTGGAGTACAAATACTTCGTTACTGTAGGCTACTTAAGTACATTGTTCTGGTATCAGTACTTTACTCCACTACTTATTTTTCTGACGACTTTTTACTTTTACTTCTTACATGTTGAACACAAATACCTGTACTTTCTACTTCTTACATGTTGAACTCAAATACCTGTACTTTCTACTTCTTACATGTTGAACACAAATACCTGTACTTTCTACTTCTTACATGTTGAACACAAATACCTGTACTTTCTACTTCTTACATGTTGAACACAAATACCTGTACTTTCTACTTCTTACATGTTGAACTCAAATACCTGTACTTTCTACTTCTTACATGTTGAACTCAAATACCTGTACTTTCTACTTCTCTCATTTTCCAAACAGCTGGTTCCTTTAGTCTGAATGTGTGTTTGGTTCGTGATCATTATTCTTTAGAGTCATTGCGTGCCTATTGATTTGAACACGATCCGTGTATCCATCATTTCCTGGTCTTCTCTAAAGAAGAGGGACCAATGGAAACGTTGTCATGTTGCCGTTGTTCAGCATGGAAACATTCATTAGCTAACAATGACATTATTGTTCTATTAATATAAAGGGAGGTCAGGTACTCTTTAAAACAGCTGGTAGCTATGGGTACTTTTTACTGAAGTACATTTCAAAGCCCATACTTCTTTACTTTTCAAGGGTTCAAGGTTCTTTATTGTCAAACTAACATAGCTACAGAGTAATTATGTCAAACTTTTACTTGAGTAAAGAAGTTTAGTCAGTACTTCTACTTTTACCAGAGTATTTTTAAACACGAGTATCTGTACTTCTACTTGAGTAAAGGATGTGTGTACTTTTGCCATCTCTGGTGTTGACTGATGTTTTCTGTCCATCAGAATAAGTACAAACACACCGCTGAGATGGACAGGGCGAGCTTCACGAGTGTCATCGACACCCCGGAGATCATCCATGCTCAGCAGATGAAGAACATCATCAGCCAGGTACATTAAATCCCCAATTTAAAGTGGGCATATCATAAAAAAACTCCCCTTTTCATTGTTTGTGCACAAACATTTTCATATCTGACAACACAAACTGAAATAAGAAGTCAGTTTTAATAGACGGCCAACTAGCTTCCTCTCTGGTGTCACATGCAGGTTAATAATATATACTGTATATATATATTTTTTGCTAGATATTTAGAAAAGACATGGCATTTTTGGTAGGGGGGCTTATAGAGAATGGCACTAAAAATGGATCGTTTCAGGCAAAAGGTGAGAACAGGAATGTGTGTTTTCAAAAGTCGAGACCACTTTTAAGGAAATGGCGTTCCAATGAACCACCGCATGCTCTTCGGTACGGAGTTATCTTCCACCACCAGAATTTAAAATCTGATACAACACCAGATAGTTATTAACTCTGCTTTTCTCCCATAGATCTCCAACAGCTATCTACAACCATGTATTCTTCTAAACCATTAATATGTCTCTTAGACCCAATTCTAACTAAGCTATTCAAATAAGTTCTCCCTTTAATTAACATGTCTTTACTAAATATGATTCATCTGTCTTTATTCTCAGGATATGTACCACTTTCCTTTCAATTAGCTTCTTCTAAACCCCAAGCTTGACCAAGAGGTTTTGAACAATCCTAACCCAATATCTCACCTTCCCTTTCTTTCTAAAATCCGTTTGCTTGATTAAGTAAACAATTCAATTTGGCTTTTTGTTTTTTCCCAACAGAAAAAGTACAAAGAGGAGGCTTCGAAGACCATGTCTCAATATGTGCCGGTGTTCGACACTCCAGAGATGCAGAGAGTCCGTGAGAACCAGAAGAACTTCAGCACTGTGAGTAGAAAATATATATATAAGCATGAATTAATAAGCCTGTTTCTACTGGGGCCGCAGCGAGTATCTGAGTATGATGAAGTCAGAGGTTCTTCCAGAGTCTTGTGGCTCTGTGTCTACATGTCTGATTAAAAGTATTATCTTCAATACTTTATACGTATGTATTATGTTCTGTAAAGTTGTAAAGTCAGTGTTTGTATTTAACCCTCCTGTTGTCTTTGGGTCAAATCTGACCGATTTACTACTTTCATCAATCATAACTTTTTTGTTTTACATTCGATTGCATAAAGAAAAGGAATTAGTAACCATCCGGATCAGATAAAACACCCTCACACACACACACACACACACACACACACACACACACACACACACACACACACACACACACATACTCTAGATGTGTTCCCCCCCTTATGTGCCCATCCCCCCATGTGAATCACACCTGGCACTCACAAACACACACACACACACAGAACAATTTGATACATTTCCCGCTCTTATGTGCCCATCCCCCACATGGATCACACCTGGCACACGCAATACATGTTCAGTGTCTATTCTTTGTATATTTACTGCAGATGTTCATGTATACCAGTAGTCTGATACAATATGTACAGTTTGAAAGGGTGTTAAATGAAATGTGGTGATGATTAATGGTTTTTGTGTTAATGTAATAGCAGTTAAAACAGGACCGGTCAAATTTGACCGCGAACACCAAAGTAAGGGGAAAACGAAGACAATAGGAGGGTTAAAGCGGTCTAGTACTCAGTGTAGAAACTAAGGTAGATGTGTTCCTTCTTATTGACGAGTTGTTTCTCTTCTGGTTTTCTGTTTTCTTCTTTTTTATTTTGACCGATTGTAAAACATGTTAACTTTTGTTTTTCTCTCTGTAGTATCAGTACCAGATTGACCATAAAAACATAAAGGGCAAAGTGTCTACTATAAAGGACACTCCTGAAATGCTCCGTGCTAAAGAGAATACAAAGAATTACAGCTTGGTATCTACTCCATCAGATTTTTGTCTTAATCTTTTCTAATAACACTTTTTAAAATACATTTTTCTTGATTTGTTCCCTTAATATTTTTTTTAACAAACCCTGATATGCAGCCCAAATATCTTTGGACCAAACAGATTTTTTTTAACCTTGTGGAAAACTCTGCATTTTAATTCAAGCAACTAACTTCTTATAGTGTGACATTTCTTAGAGCAGAGCTTGTGTGTTGTGAAATACCGTGTTGTTGTGTCCTTTAAATGTTGATGTATATGTTTGTTTTGTTGCTGTGTGTGTGTGTCGATAAATCAGGTTTAGCTTTGAATTCAAACCCACTTTTCCTCATTAACCAAGAGTTGAAATCAGGCTAACTTCTGGTTGCTACTTTCATTCCTCATCTGTGTAAAGATTCAGTACAAAGAGGATTTGGGAGGAGGAACATCCTTATCCGAGACCCCCGAGATGGAGAGGGTTAAACGCAACCAGCGCAACATTAGCACGGTACTCCTCAGAGTGACCCTACTTCATCCAGCCTCCCTCCATACTCACTCCTTAAGGAATAACCAGGAATATAACATATCCCGACATGTAATCTCTTCAATTAGCCATTTACTGTTAATTACATTTCCTTACTAATTACGGGCCCCCAAAGTTCACAAGTATTTAGTTTTGCCTCTGCACTGGTGGTAACTGTAGACGAAGGCACTATAAATATTATATTTGAATTGTATTTTTCCGTAAACAAACGTCCAGTTCGATTCAAGGATGATCTAGTTAAGATCTAGATCATTACTACGTCACTGTGGACCTCAAGAAAGTGATAATTGATATGCTAAATATGACACATTTCACCCAAAAAGTGATGACAATGTGGATTGAAATGGATGAAAAACTGCAGGTTTATTGCGAGTTATTCATTTTGTAAAAACACATTGATGAAGAAACTTGTTTTTTTACAAATCTGTCCAAGTACAGTACTTTGTGTCCATTGGTTTGCTTTTGGGGTCGTTCATTGTTTGTGCTACTAGGACCCTATTTCTATAGAATATGGGACTATATTTATCGTTATTCATCATGACACATTTGAGTCTTTTTATCGGGACTTTGAGGGCTCTGTAGGATTTACATTGCAACTAAATGAAGTACCATCCATTTTGAAAGCAGAACGTATATATATCACAATCCTCCTTATTACCAACCAACCCAACTACCACTAAAACATACTATATTTTCGTCAGTGTGTTCTGTCTACCGTACTGTGCTTTTGTTTGTCTCTGTCTTACTCTGTGTCACTTTTGCAATGGGCAGATTCAGTACAAGGACTCTTTGGGTCAAGGCACGTCCATACCAGATCTGCCCGAGGTGAAGAGGGTCCGAGAAACCCAGAAGAATATCAGCTTGGTATAGAGGAGAAGGACTTCAACAACGCTTATCTTATCCCCTTAAAATCATTCCCCAAAACCCCCTCTGACCTCTCATAGAACAGTCTAAAAGTCTAGAAAACGTTACCGTACACGGTTTTTAATCCTAGTCTCCCCTCCTCCATCCTAATTAGATTCCATAAATCCCTCCACTTACTGACTTTATGTATCTTGAATTCATATTTCCACAAAAACACAATGCCCCCTTCCCCTTTTCTTCCTAAACAAATCTTCATTTCCCTGGATTTTTGTATTTTAATTCCTGATTTTGTGGCATTTCCTCCTCCTTAAAGTAAAACCTAACCTGCCTTTGAGTGTGTTGCCACCATGTGTGACTCTTTCTGTGTGTTGTCTCCTTTTAAAGATTCAATACAAAACAGGAGTGGAACAAGGCACGTCAGTATCAGAGACCCCCGAGATGGAGAGGGTGAAACGCAATCAGCACAACATTAGCACGGTACTCCTCAGAGTGACCCTGCTTCCCCCTCTTCCTCACCCTTTATCCATAGGCGGAGTTTGACATTTGCGCTTGGGGGGGGGGCAAACCTTTTTTACTGACGTCAGTACACAGTTCCAACTATTGCGTGGGGTGCTACGGATACAGTATCAATAAAGCCAGCGCTCACCGCACTGAGTATGACTTTTCCACACGCGAACACAACTCGTCCCGTCATGCACGCCTCATGCCCGCCGTACACACTCACTCATATGGAAGGGGCGGTCTCTCCACCCAACAACAGTGCAAATCATAACTGTGCACATCTTATACTTATTTGATAACTACGATATCCCTTGGTTACTTGAACACGCTACAATATTATGAACCAGTGTCCTATCTTATTAAAATATTGATATACGAAATATTTGTATTGGAACAGTTTTCAACGTAGTAATGCTGTATCATATTTCAGCCACTAGGGGGGGCAATGCCCCCCCTGCCCCCCCCGCAAAATCCGCCTATGCCTTTATCTCCCTCAAACACCATGCCATAACAACTCTCCCTACGCTCTCTTAGATGTCAGAAGTGTTGTGTTTGTTCGTCTCTGTCTTACTCTGTGTCTGTGTTACTTCAGCGACCCTTATCTTATCCCCTTAATATCATCTCCTTGTAGTCTAAAAGGCTAGAAAACTGTACCCTCCTCATTATTTAGTCCTGGTTTCCCCTCCTCCATCCTAACTAAGTTTCACAAATCCCTCATTTTTTCCAACTTAATCTTGAATTCATTTTTCCACAACAAACATAAAGCCCACTTCTTCATATCGTCCTAAATACATCTGCATTTCCCTGGACCTTTAGGATTATAACTACTTTCTTAAGGCCTTTTTTACCCCCTTAAAGTAAAACCTAACCTGCCTTTGTGTGTGTTACTTGCCACCATGTGTGACTCTCTCTGTGTCTCCTTTTAAAGATTCAATACAAAACAGGAGTGGAACAAGGCACGTCAGTATCAGAGACCCCCGAGATGGCGAGAGTTAAACGCAATCAGCACAACATTAGCACGGTACTCCTCAGAGTGACCCTGCTTCCCCTCTTCCTCACCCTTTATCTCCCTCAGACACCATAACAACTCTCCTCAGCTCTTAGATGTCAGACCTGTTGTGTTTGTTTGTCTCCGTCTGTAACTTTTGTGATGTGATGTGATTTGTGATGTCAGAAGTGTTTTGTTTCTTGTGTTTGTTTGTCCCTGTCTTACTCTGTGTCTGTGTAACTTTTGCAATGGGCAGATTCAGTACAAGGACTCTTTGGGTCAAGGCACGTCCATACCAGATCTGCCCGAGGTGAAGAGGGTCCGAGAAACCCAGAAGAATATCAGCTTGGTAGAGGAGAAGGACTTCAACGACCCTTATCTTATCCCCTTACATTTCCCCTGAAACCCCCTCTTCTAGTCTAAAAGTCTGGTTTCCCCTCCTCCATCTCACTCCTTATGTCTGCCAACTTCGGTTGACGACAAAAACATAATTTCCCACCATTTCTCCCCTAAATTAATCCTTTCCCTGGAGTTTTTTTATGTTAACATCCAGTATTTCCTCCTAAATTGAACACTAACCTGCCTTTGAGTGTGTTACTTGCCACCATATGTGACTCTTTCTATGTGTTGTCTCATTTCAAAGATTCAATACAAAACAGGAGTGGAACAAGGCACGTCAGTATCAGAGACCCCCGAGATGGAGAGGGTTAAACGCAATCAGCACAACATTAGCACGGTACTCCTCAGAGTGACCCTGCTTTCATCCGCCCCTCATACTTCATCTCTTTTAAACACCGTCATAACAAACTCCCCTTAGATCTCAGAAATGTAATGTTCATATTAAACCCATCGCGCAGATATAACACATCATGGGGTCGGCTGAACTCCACTCATAACCTGCTTCTTCATTTCCAGTGGAGTAAAGTAACTAAGTAGATTTCCTTAAGTACACTTTGAGGCACTTTTCTTGAGTATTTAAATGTTTTGTCACTTTGTACTTCTACTTTGGATTGATGTGAAATATAATCAACACTCAAATAAGACTTAGTAAAATTTGCAATATCACATAAATCAAAACATATCATATGTATTATTCTGAAATGGACCAATCTGCAGAATGAGAACTTTTACTTTTGGTACTTTAATTATATTTTGATGCTAATACTTTTGTACTTTTACTTGAGTAACATTTTGAATGCAGGACTTTTACTTGTAACAGAGTATTCCTACACAGGTACTTCTACTTTTACTAAAGTACAAGATCTGAGTACTTCTACTTTTACTGAAGTACCAGATCTGAGTACTTCTACTTTTACTGAAGTACCAGATCTGAGTACTTCTACTTTTACTGAAGTACCAGATCTGAGTACTTCCTCCCACCATTTCTCAGGGCGTTAAAAAAAGTGTGTTTTGATCCGTGTTTCCTGTCTGCAGTGCTGTGTTTTGTCTCCTGTAATTGTCTTTTTCTGACCTTGTTACTTTCTCCTCCACTCTACCCTCACTGTGTGTTGGGTAGATTAAATACAAGGACTCTCTGGGTCAAGGCACGGCGATATCGGACCTCCCAGAGGTGAAGAGGGTTCGAGAAACCCAGAGGAACATCAGCTCGGTAGCAGAAAACAAAAAACCCCGAACCACGTGTGCTCCTAACGGTTGAGAGTGGATAGTAGTGCTCATTGATAATTCCCATCCTCTGCTGCTCCCCCCCCCCCACTCCCATCACCCCCCATCTTCATCCTAGTCATAGTTTCCCAGTGGTTTAAAGTACATTTACTCAAGTACTGTACTGAGGTACTTGCACTTTACTTGAGTATTTCTATTTTATGCTAATTTGTACTTTTAGTTCACTACAATTCAGAGGTACATGGTGTACCTTTACTCCACTAGATGTATTTAATACCTTGAGTTACTTTACAGATGTGGATGAATGATGGTAAATCTAATCAAGTGTTAAATCAGACTTTAGTTCCACCTGGAGTAAATCCACCAGCTACCCTGCAGTATACAAAGTCATTCAAACTAGCTGCACCTTCACCAGCTTTGAGAACACTTTCATGATCAATCATTAGAAAACATATCATATATATTATTCTGAAATGGACCAATCTGCACAACGACTACTTTTACTGTCGCTACTTTAACTATATTTAGATGAGAATACTTTTATTCTTTCACTTGAGGAACATTTTGAATGCGGGGCTTTTACTGTAACAGAGTATTCCTACACTCTGGTACTTCTACTTTTACTCAAGAACAAGATCTGAGTACTTCTACTTTTACTCAAGTACAAGATCTGAGTACTTCTACTTTTACTCAAGTACAAAGTCTGAGTACTTCTACTTTTACTCAAGTACAAAGTCTGAGTACTTCTACTTTTACTCAAGTACAAGCTCTGAGTACTTCTGCTTTTAATCAAGAACAAGCTCTGAGTACTTCTACTTTTACTCAAGTACAAGCTCTGAGTACTTCTGCTTTTACTCGAGTACAAGCTCTGAGTACTTGTACTTTTACTCAAGTACAAGATCTGAGTACTTCTACTCTAGTACAAGATCTGAGTACTTCTACTTTTACTCAAGTACAAGCTCTGAGTACTTGTACTTTTACTCAAGTACAAGCTCTGAGTACTTGTACTTTTACTCAAGTACAAACTCTGAGTACTTCTCCCTCCTCTACATTTTCCTGAGCTGCAATCATCTTCCTCATCACCACCATCTTCGTCATCATCATCATCACTTTTACCCCAATGCATCCTTTCATTTTCACCCATCTATTCTTTTTTCCTCCATCTTGTAATCTTCTTCCATCAACCCCTCTTTTGTTTATGATGCCCCCTCCCCCAATTGACCATATCTTCTAACACACAGCCTAGCTTTTCTTTCTGCAGAGTGTGTTTCTACTTCACGGCTAACGACAAACTAAATCTCCTGCTGAATTGTAAGGAGTGTGTTTGCTTTCCTCTACAGAGAGACCCCGGCTCAAGATGAGTCACTCTGTAGGACCAATTTCTGAGACGCTGCTTAAATATAATCATAAAGCAATAAACGTCAAATAAAAAGCAGTTTTTATCTCTGAGATTATTTAAAGGTCACCTATTATGCAAAATCCTCTTCTTCATGTCTCTTCTACATCAACATGTGTCCCCTCTTCTTCATGTCTCTTCTACATCAACATGTGTCCCCTCTTCTTCATGTCTCTTCTACATCAACATGTGTCCCCTCTTCTTCATGTCTCTTCTACATCAACATGTGTCCCCTCTTCTTCATGTCTCTTCTACATCAACATGTGTCCCCTCTCTTCATGTCTGTTCTACATCAACATGTGTCCCCTCTTCTTCATGTCTCTTCTACATCAACATGTGTCCCCTCTTCTTCATGTCTCTTCTACATCAACATGTGTCCCCTCTTCTTCATGTCTCTTCTACATCAACATGTGTCCCCTCTTCTTCATGTCTCTTCTACATCAACATGTGTCCCCTCTTCTTCATGTCTCTTCTACATCAACATGTGTCCCCTCTGTGTAAACAAACAAAACAAAGATTCTCTCTCTTTTTGATCCATTTCTATAAAAACCTGTCTGAAAATGAGCTGATCAGATTTTGGCCACTTTATGATGTCATAACGATGTTTTGTCTTGAGTAACCATTAGCAAATCAGAAACCAAGGTAACCCCCCCCCCCCCCCCCCTGATCACCTGAATCTCCTCCTAGAGCACCATTGAGTTCTTTGTAACCAAATGTCTCTCTGAGGGGCGTGGGGAGGGGCTCCTTATTTTCATCTAAAGTAACAGACAGAGAATCAGCACTTTGGAAACAGAGGGGATTATGGGATGCTGCGAGACACGAGAGACATGTTTTGTATATATCTGAGACCTATATATTGATGAAAAACAGTGAAATAGGGGACCTTTAATTTTGGAGAAACCCTGAAAACTGCTTTGTCCGTGTTTTCTGTTTTTTGTAAATCCAAGTCTATGAAAGCAGTCCTATAGGTGTGTGTACTGTGTGTGTTTCAGTGTGTTTGATTTGCCTCTCGGGGCGCTGTGCTTCTGTCCTGTAGGTGTTGTATAAAGACAGTTCAGCCAAGGGAACCCCTGTGGTGTGTACCCCAGAGATGGAGCGAGTCAAAAGGAACCAAGAGAACATTAGCTCGGTACCTCCAGAACATATTCTACTTTCAATATGTTCTCCCCACGTTAACCCTTTTCTAACTGACTTGTCTCCCGGCTCTAGTTAATTGTATTAATTCTCTCCACTTTTGAAATGTCTTCAAATAGTGTGCACATCATCGCTGCTGTGCTAACCTTTCCTGTTGTTAAAACTACTCCACTTCATCTTGTCCTCTCCTGAAGATTGGGATGTCATCCTGTTTTCTGTTAATCCTTCATCCGTCTGATTTCCCAGTAACCTCCTTCTGCCAGTGTGTTTGTCTCTCTTACCACACCCTTTGTGCTGTGGATGCTAACGGCTAACGTGTGATGGTGTCAGGTTTCAGCCGCTCACTGTGTGTCCTCTGCTCCTCCAGGTTCTGTACTCTGACAGTTTCCGTAAGCAGGTCCAGGGCAAGGCCGCCTTCGTTCTGGACACGCCTGAGATGAGGCGTGCCAAGGAGAGCCAGCGCATGATTTCAGGAGTAAGATATTGTCTCTTTCCTGTTGTGTGTTGTATAGGTTTTTTGTCAGAGGTGGGAAGTAGTGGAGTACAAATACTTCGTTACTGTACTTAAGTACATTTTTCTGGTACCAGTGCTTTACTCCACTACTTATTTTTCTGACCACTTTTACTTGTTACATTTTGAACACAAATACCTGTACTTTCTACTTCTTACATTTTCCAAACAGGCTGGTTCCTTTAGTTTGAATCTGCATTTCATTACATTTATTCAAGCACTTTTCCGAATGCTCAAAGCGCTAACATTGCAAATGACACATAACAGACATGTGTCTTGCCCAAGGACACAAAGTTATGGGTACTTTTACTTAAGTACATTTCAAAGCCCATACTTCTTTACTTTTACTTGAGTAAAGAAGTTTAGTCAGTACTTCTACTTTTACCAGAGTATAGACACTACATACTGATATACACCTGAACATCAGCAGGAGAGGACTCTTTAAAGTAGAGACACTACATACTGATATACACCTGAACATCAGCAGGAGAGGACTCTTTAAAGTAGAGACACTACATACTGATATACACCTGAACATCAGCAGGAGAGGACTCTTTAAAGTAGAGACACTACATACTGATATACACCTGAACATCAGCAGGAGAGGACTCTTTAAAGTAGAGACACTACATACTGATATACACCTGAACATCAGCAGGAGAGCACTCTTTAAAGTATAGACACTACATACTGATATACACCTGAACATCAGCAGGAGAGGACTCTTTAAAGTAGAGACACTACATACTGATATACACCTGAACATCAGCAGGAGAGGACTCTTTAAAGTAGAGACACTACATACTGATATACACCTGAACATCAGCAGGAGAGGACTCTTTAAAGTAGAGACACTACATACTGATATACACCTGAACATCAGCAGGAGAGGACTCTTTAAAGTAGAGACACTACATACTGATATACACCTGACCATCAGCAGGAGAGGACTCTTTAAAGTAGAGACACTACATACTGATATACACCTGAACATCAGCAGGAGAGGACTCTTTAAAGTAGAGACACTACATACAGATATACACCTGAACCTCAGCAGGAGAGGACTCTTTAAAGTAGAGACACTAAATACTGATATACACCTGGACATCAGCAGGAGAGGACTCTTTAACGTAGAGACACTACATACTGATATACACCTGAACATCAGCAGGAGAGGACTCTTTAAAGTAGAGACACTACATACAGATATACACCTGACCATCAGCAGGAGAGGACTCTTTAAAGTAGAGACACTACATACTGATATACACCTGAACATCAGCAGGAGAGGACTCTTTAAAGTAGAGACACTACATACTGATATACACCTGAACATCAGCAGGAGAGGACTCTTTAAAGTAGAGACACTACATACTGATATACACCTGAACATCAGCAGGAGAGGACTCTTTAAAGTAGAGACACTACATACTGATATACACCTGAACATCAGCAGGAGAGGACTCTTTAAAGTAGAGACACTACATACTGATATACACCTGAACATCAGCAGGAGAGGACTCTTTAAAGTAGAGACACTACATACTGATATACACCTGAACATCAGCAGGAGAGCACTCTTTAAAGTAGAGACACTACATACTGATATACACCTGAACATCAGCAGGAGAGGACTCTTTAAAGTAGAGACACTACATACTGATATACACCTGAACATCAGCAGGAGAGGACTCTTTAAAGTAGAGACACTACATACTGATATACACCTGAACATCAGCAGGAGAGGACTCTTTAAAGTAGAGACACTACATACTGATATACACCTGAACATCAGCAGGAGAGGACTCTTTAAAGTAGAGACACTACATACTGATATACACCTGAACATCAGCAGGAGAGGACTCTTTAAAGTAGAGACACTACATACTGATATACACCTGACCATCAGCAGGAGAGGACTCTTTAAAGTAGAGACACTACATACTGATATACACCTGAACATCAGCAGGAGAGGACTCTTTAAAGTAGAGACACTACATACTGATATACACCTGAACATCAGCAGGAGAGGACTCTTTAAAGTAGAGACACTACATACAGATATACACCTGACTATCAGCAGGAGAGGACTCTTTAAAGTAGAGACACTACATACTGATATACACCTGAACATCAGCAGGAGAGGACTCTTTAAAGTAGAGACACTACATACTGATATACACCTGAACATCAGCAGGAGAGGACTCTTTAAAGTAGAGACACTACATACTGATATACACCTGAACATCAGCAGGAGAGGACTCTTTAAAGTAGAGACACTACATACTGATATACACCTGAACATCAGCAGGAGAGGACTCTTTAAAGTAGAGACACTACATACTGATATACACCTGAACATCAGCAGGAGAGGACTCTTTAAAGTAGAGACACTACATACTGATATACACCTGAACATCAGCAGGAGAGGACTCTTTAAAGTAGAGACACTACATACTGATATACACCTGAACATCAGCAGGAGAGGACTCTTTAACGTAGAGACACTACATACTGATATACACCTGAACATCAGTAGGAGAGGACTCTTTAAAGTAGAGACACAACCTACTGATATACACCTGAACATCAGCAGGAGAGGACTCTTTAAAGTAGAGACACTACATACTGATATACACCTGAACATCAGCAGGAGAGGACTCTTTAAAGTAGAGACACTACATACTGATATACACCTGAACATCAGCAGGAGAGGACTCTTTAAAGTAGAGACACTACATACTGATATACACCTGAACATCAGCAGGAGAGGACTCTTTAAAGTAGAGACACTACATACTGATATACACCTGAACATCAGCAGGAGAGGACTCTTTAAAGTAGAGACACTACATACTGATATACACCTGAACATCAGCAGGAGAGGACTCTTTAAAGTAGAGACACTACATACTGATATACACCTGAACATCAGCAGGAGAGGACTCTTTAAAGTAGAGACACTACATACTGATATACACCTGAACATCAGCAGGAGAGGACTCTTTAACGTAGAGACACTACATACTGATATACACCTGAACATCAGTAGGAGAGGACTCTTTAAAGTAGAGACACAACCTACTGATATACACCTGAACATCAGCAGGAGAGGACTCTTTAAAGTAGAGACACTACATACTGATATACACCTGAACATCAGCAGGAGAGGACTCTTTAAAGTAGAGACACTACATACTGATATACACCTGAACATCAGCAGGAGAGGACTCTTTAAAGTAGAGACACTACATACTGATATACACCTGAACATCAGCAGGAGAGGACTCTTTAAAGTAGAGACACTACATACTGATATACACCTGAAAATCAGCAGGAGAGGACTCTTTAAAGTAGAGACCTGTTGCCTTAACTCAACCGTAGTTTCACAACGATCACCACGTAGCATTGTGCGTTTCTGCAAGCGTGATATGAAACGTTTTTGGAACGTTTTGGAGAAAAAAAATCCCTCAGTAAATATTGAATCTGTTAAGGGCTATTTTCCGCAGCGGATTAAAACACAGTTGCTGCTCTAACAAATATCTCCTGTCTGTTAACCCCGTTGTGTTTTCCTCTTCCAGGTGAGATACCACGAGGACTTTGAGAAGAGTAAGGGCAGCTTCACTCCCACCAGCACCGACCTAACGACTGAACGTGTGAAGAAGAACACGCAGGAGTTCAGCGACATCAACTACCGTGGCATCACCAGGAAAGTGGTGGAGATGGAGAGGAGGAGGGCCATCGAGCACGACCAGGAGACCACCACCGGTACACAAACACACACACTGTCAAGAAAGAGAAAACCATACTATAAACTATAAGATATTTGAACTATGTACGAATAGTGAAAGAAAGGTCAATCACATGCTTTGTAGAATACATTCTTTTTTCAAAGAGCTTTTCATTAATTTTTTGCAAAGATTGTTAATAATGAGAAACCGGCGCACATTTCATACAAAGTCTGAGAAATATCTAAAGCCACAGATTGAAATGTGTGATTTTAAGTCTTTAAATGTGACTGTCTGCTCTCAGATCTGCGTGTCTGGCGCACAAACCCCGGCTCTGTGTTCGACTACGACCCGGCCGAGGACAACATCCAGTCCAGGAGTCTGCACATGATGTCAGGTGAGAGGAAAACACTTTTTAAAACAATGTTAAAAGAGATTAAACAGATTCAAAGTGATGTGTTCCAGCCATGGCTAGTATGAGGTAAATGTTAAACCTGATCTTATTGAATTCATTATTTTACAAAATCTTAAAAACGGTTCTTACCTCTGATGTTGTTCAGTGCAAGCTCAGCGCCGCAGTAAGGAGCACTCCCGCTCCACCAGCGCTCTGAGCGGCCTCGCTGACGAGAAGTCTGAAGTTTCCCAGGACCCTGAACACCACATGTCCCTCTACAGCAACGGCTTCATGGCCTCCTCCACGGGTAAATACTCCAACAATACTGAAGACAGTATTTTTACCAAACACCTCAGATCCACACACTGCAGTGGGAAGTATTGGAGTACAAATACTTCGTTACTGTAATTAAGTACATTTTTCTAGTGTCAGTACTTTACTCCACTTCTCATTTTTCTGACGACTTTTTACTTTGACTTCTTACATGTTGAACACAAACACCTGTACTTTCTACTTCTTACATGTTGAACACAAATACCTGTACTTTCTACTTCTTACATGTTGAACTCAAATACCTGTACTTTCTACTTCTTACATGTTGAACACAAATACCTGTACTTTCTACTTCTTACATGTTGAACACAAACACCTGTACTTTCTACTTCTTACATGTTGAACACTAATACCTGTACTTTCTACTTCTTAAATGTTGAACACAAATACCTGTACTTTCTACTTCTTACATGTTGAACACAAATACCTGTACTTTCTACTTCTTACATGTTGAACTCAAATACCTGTACTTTCTACTTCTTACATGTTGAACACAAATACCTGTACTTTCTACTTCTCACATGTTGAACTCAAATACCTGTACTTTCTACTTCTTACATGTTGAACACAAATACCTGTACTTTCTACTTCTTACATGTTGAACTCAAATACCTGAACTTTCTACTTCTTACATGTTGAACACAAATACCTGAACTTTCTACTTCTTACATGTTGAACACAAATACCTGAACTTTCTACTTCTTACATGTTGAACACAAATACCTGTACTTTCTACTTCTCACATGTTGAACACAAATACTTGTACTTTCTACTTCTCTCATTTTCCAAACAGCTGGTTCCTTTAGTCTGAATGTGTGTTTGATGCGTGATCATTATTCTTTAGAGTCATTGCGTGCCTATTGATTGGAACACGATCCGTGTATCCATCACTTCCTGGTCTTCTCTAAAGAAGAGGGACCAATGGAAACGTTGTCATGTTGCCGTTGTTCAGCATGGAAACATTCATTAGCTAACAATGACATTATTGTTCTATTAATATAAAGGGAGGTCAGGTACTCTTTAAAACAGCTGCTAGTTATGGGTACTTTTTACTGAAGTACATTTCAAAGCCTCTTTACTTTTACTTGAGTAAAGAAGTTTAGTCAGTACTTCTACTTTCACCAGAGTTTTTTTAAACTCGTGTATCTGTACTTCTACTCGAGTAAAGGATGTGTGTACTTTAACATCTCTGGTGATTATGTAAACAGTGTGTGTCTCTGTGTTTCCTTCAGGTTACCAGCATGCTAAGACAGTGGAGCTCCAGCAGAGGTCTTCCTCAGTCGCCACCCAGCAGACCACCGTCTCCTCCGTCCCCTCCCACCCCTCCACCACCGGGGTCAGTCACTACTTAATGGATCAATAAGTTGCTTGTATCATGGATCCGAAACTTTAGACACTCAAGACATAACAAGATATAACAAAATAGAACCACAGACACACTGCTGATTGAAGGAACTATTATATTGTTGTCCAACAGTATGAGAGCCAGAATACTTGCGTCAAGTCCATCAAGAGTCTGTCTGTCTGTCTAAAGAATAACAGAATCTCACAGGTCTCACTTCTTTTGAGTTTACGCAGCACTTTACCTTTTGGACCTTTTACAATCCCATGTTACAAGACCCTATGCTCAATAACACGCTGCAGACAGACATGTGCACATTCAAGGTCTCTTTAGATAAACTAAATGATGAAACTCACTAGCATGACTTACAACACATGATCATATCATATAGATTATTTCAACACTTGTTTTAGTCTTTTTATGGGATTTGTTGACAATAAAAAAAATAGAGAATATCCCCCCCCTCATGCTTTAAACTCTTGGAGCTCTCACAGCCTCCTCGCACTCTTTACACATGACTCTGTGTAGCGGGTCATTTGGAAATTAACATACAAATGTGAATAATTTTGCTTACAGGGGTTTAACTACGTAACACTCAACATGTCAACATGACACCAAAAATTCCCTTGCTCTATAAAATAAATAAATGAAATAATACAAAAAATGTACATAAATACAAAATGCAGAAAGATACATTAATTGAAAGATCTCCTATCATGCTACTTGGAGGCATATATTATGGGTCTCAGATCCCTGACACACTGGGGACACATATTTATGTATAAAAGATATCAAAAAGTGCATTTTGCATGATAGGAGACCTTTAAGAAGTTGATGAAAATTGGTTGTCATTAAATAATATTGCATCCTTGCAAAACAACTGAATAACATAGATCAACGTATAGCTCCAACACTCACACTTCTTTATCCTCTGCAGAAAACCGTGCGTGCCATTTACGACTACGCGGCGGCCGACAGCGACGAGGTTTCCTTCAAGGACAGCGATGTGATCGTGAACGTGCAGGCCATCGACGAGGGCTGGATGTATGGCACCGTGCAGCGCACCGGCAAGACCGGCATGCTGCCCGCCAACTACGTGGAAGCTATCTAAAGACAAAGCCCGCCCACCGACCCTCCAGAGAAGCACATCCACAGGGCGACTTCCTGTCAACACACCTGTGGCTTTAGTGCAATGTGTAGCCTGTAGTTAGTTTAGATCTGTGTATTTTAACTGTTATCTTTCAAATGCTGCTGCCCCCCCCCCCCGTTACCTGTGGATGTGACACAAGACACATTTAAACATGTCTGATTATGCATACCTATACTATTTTAGATTGTTACAATTGAGACGCCTCGGGAAAATCACTCACTTTGTATATTTCAATAATATTTAATATATATAAACCTCTTTGTTCAGGATGTATTACCCGAGCAACGGGTTCAAATTATGCCTGTAACTAAGGAGTCAGTCACTCCTCCATGATGAAACCGCTCCTGAAGAGTGTGTACGAGAGCCTCAGTCTTCCCTCCTTTACACTGAAGGCTGGCCACTAGTGTGTGTGTGTTTTGTGTCTTCAGATTATACAGGTCCTCTACCTTTAATCAGTAGCTAATAAAGCACACCAAGCTCCTGCAGCACTCTGACTCCTTTCTTTGATTCTAAACTTTGACCCCTGGTATCTTCTTCTAATCGTTGTATTCACACTTCATTGGGATGAATGGGTGTAGCATTTAAAGACGTCATTATATATGTAAGGGATAATGTGCAGCGAGGTTTTCTGTAACTTTATCTTTTCGGTTAAGCCATCATGAATCCAAAGTCTTGTGCTCTCGACAAATATATAAAAAATAATATTTAAAAAGTGCTCCAAGGTGTTTTCTTACCAAAAAGACGAATGTGTGTTGTCCACAGCTGGAGTTAAATTATTTCTACGGATTGATACGACTGCACATAGTCCCTTGATTCTCCTTAACAACGGTCTGTTCTCCTTAACAACGAAAATTAACAACCTCTAAAACAGGGGTGTCAAACTCAAATACACAGTGGGCCAAAATAAAAAAATGGGTAGGCCTACTACTCGAGGGCCGGACTGGTTCAATGTTTATTGCAGAACTTATTGAAATGAACTTATTGCACATATTAAACCTGGAACTAACAAAGCTTAAATTATTGCCTATAAAAACAACATTAAACATTAAATAATCAGTTGCATTCATTTCTTATGGCTCTATCTGCAGCTTTTCCAGAGTCATTTCTTATGATTACATTTCCCCACAGGCCAACAACAGCTTCAACAAAACTATTCCCCTCAAAGAGAAAACCAAACATGCCCTGTTGTCGTGAGAGAAAGTGCAGAAGGAAGCATCCATTGAACTCAGTGTGCTGCTCTGTGATGCTAGCTCAGATACTTGGCATCTCATCTTGGGTGCAAGGTCATCAATGTTTGGGCTCAGGCTCTGAGCGGAGGAGACCCTCAGGATGGAGTGAAGGTGTGCGTGCAATATACCGGAGGGCCAGATCTAATAGGAATTAAAGATTATCCTGCGGGCCGAAATTAAATCCACCAAGGGCCTGATTTGGCCCCCGGGCCTTGAGTTTGACACATGCGCTCTAAAATGTCCACATTGACCTATCAGAATCGAGTATTCAGCGAAGCCGTGTAATACTTCAAAAATATTGTATAAAACTTGTTTCTCCAATCAAAAATGCAAACACGTTTATATTAATCAGAATCAATGAATTTATTAACAACATATTCATTTAGAATTAAGGACTTCTATTTAATGTATTAACTTAACCCTTTATTAATTACATTGTTATTTAACTTGACATTGAATTGATCACTAAATCTGTTTCACAGCCTGGCATTGAAGTCATTAGTCATAACACACTTTATAAAAGCTTCTTTATTAGAAAGTGGTGGCAGAGTATGAGCCTACATCACAGTTTAACTGCAGGCATCTTTATGGTGACGTGAAAAGGCAAACGTGTGAATTTAACAAGGCACAAAAAACACAAAATGACGAGCACCGTACACTGTTCATATAACACAACACTTTATAGAGGCTGCATCATCAGTGACGTCAAAAGGCAATAACGAGAATTCATCCGGGCACGAAAGGATCTTTTTACTCATGTTGCTGCAGCGAGTCGACCATCTCGTGGCCTGCTGCGTCTTTTTTGTCTCGAAGTACTTTGGGGAAACTGGAACAGAACCTGTTGTCAGTTACAGTTCAGTCCGACTATTGATTTTAATATCACAGGTATCTCTAGGGCTCTTTATCTTCCTGCCTGTCCAGTGATAGTGATAATTGTCCGCGTCTCGCCTCACATTCGGGTCATCCGTCTAACAAGAATTGATCCAGGCACAAAAGGATCTTTTTACTGATATTTCTGCAGCGAGTCGACCATCTTGTGGCCTGCTGCGTAATAAATTGTCTCTTTTGGCTCTACGTACTTTGGGAAAACTGGAAAAACCTCCTTCCTGTTGTCAGTTACAGTTCAGTCATACTATAAATTGTAATGTCAAAGGTATCTCTAGCACTCTGCATCTTCCTGTCCGGTGATACTGATATTATTTGGCTCACATTGGGTCACCTCCCCTGCTGCAGAGTGAGTAATCCGGCCCGCTGCTCGTACTGCTTCTGATTGGCCTGTGAGATTTTTGCACACAGATCCACGGGCTTCTCGAAGAAGTTCACCAGCGCCTGTTCGGTGAGCAGCGACGCCAGAATCTGAGCGTAGCTGACCGTCCAATCGCTGTCCGACGAAGAACTCCCAGCATCCTCGGGGGTTTGTTCTGCGCTGACCTCCGACCCCTCTGAGCTGTGTCTCCGATGTTCCACCTCTCCGATCTGCAGCACCAGGCTGGTAACCGTGGCGATGGCCTGGAAGAGGTCGTTCTCCACCAGGTCGCCGTGAAACATGCTGTAGAGCGTCTTACAAAACTGGATGAACTCACGCTGTGGAGGAGAAAGAAGAAGACTTTTTACTTTCTTTTTCTTTTAAAGACTCACGAGGGAAGTCTTAAAACAGGTTTCAAAATCCTTATTCTGGAAATTGAAAAGTGGTTTAAAGGTCAAAGATGGGTTCGGGTGACAGTAATGGCGCATTTCCACTACAGCGCGGAGCTCGCTTTAAGCGTGCCGAGCCGTGCCTGTTCTTGGTTGCATTTCCACTAGGCTATTTCACAGTTTTTCTGGCCCCATAAAATCGAGGTTCTTTCCGGGCCAACAACCAGGGTGAGTCGGGCTGAGTATGCTAAACTAGAGAGAGAGTTGCTGGCAAGGGAGCTACAACTACAACAAGATGAACATATTTGACCGTGATTTAATTATAATACACGTTTCAAAATGATGCCGAAGTAACAACATACTGATACCGGTTAGTAAAAACCATGAATTAATGCTTTGACAAGTCTGCAGACAGACGGCAGAGAAACACCCTTTTAAAATGCGTGTTTTCTGAATGGAGCTTGGCTAAGCTAACGCAGTATATGCTCCGACCGTCCACACTCACAACAACGGCCGATACAGACATAAATAAACCAGCGACTGTATTCGCCATGACACAGGCAGTCTGTGGTTTGTACTTGTTTAACTTTTGTCTAGTTTCTGAACAGATATGAGGAGCTGTGAGCTCTGAGTGCTAAGAGCTAACGGCTGTGTTGTTTTTCTGGGGCTCGCATTGAAGATGACGTCACGGCTCCGCCTACACTGCGTTACTATAGTTACTGCCCCAGTTCCTAAACTGTAATGGAAATGCGCCATAAAGTGAGCCAGTCCTAACAAGGCCTAACGAGGCCTAGCCATACCGAGCGAGGCCCTGTAGTGGAAATGCGCCATAAGGGACATGTGTTGTCTGGGGATGCAAAATGATTGAAAGAGAAGGATAAAAGGAATAGAAAAAGGTTAGAAAAGTCTCAAAATAACTATAATTCCACGGGAAGACTAGGGGTAGAGGAATGTGAGAATTTAGTTAGGGGTCTTTTCAAATATCTGGAACAAACTCCCAGAAACCTGCAGGTCCACTGCAACTCTGACTACTTTTAAATCCAGGCTGAAGACTTGCCGCTGCTTTTAATTGAACTATTCACATCTTAAACTGCACTGTAACTTTTATTCATGTTTTATTATCTTTGCTTTGTAATGTTTCTAATGTGTTTTACGCTCTTATGTCATTTTTGTAAAGCACTTTGAATTGCCTTGTGTTGAAAAGTGCTATATAAATAAACTTGCGTTGCCTTTCTGAAGAACACTTTAGTGTAAGATAAGATGGAACTTTATAGCAGCGACAGGTCAGAGTGAAAAACAGGATTCACACAAGGTACAAATAAAGACAAATTAGAAATTGATAAAGTAAATGTTGAAACAAGATATCACAGTTAAGCATTTGAATGAACATGATAAAGATATTTACATAAGTGTGCAGTAAGTGTTAATGTAATTCAGCACCATCGTTGTTTAAAAGTGTCTATATTATTCATATTAATAATATAATAATGGGGAGAAGAAGAAAAAGGATGCAGAACAATATTTATATTATACTATTTATATTATTTTATACTGTATGTTGCATTGTTGGAGGAGCCTGGGATTACAGATTAAACCACCAATGGTATTAAGCCTTTCCCAGCATGCATTGGGGGAGAAACAGGTCATCAGGACTAACACAGCGCCTAATTAGTCGAATTTGCTGCTGATTTCAGTTGATTTTAAGGTATATTCTCTCTATTATTGTCAAAAAGAGATCAGATTATCAGGATATGAAGTAAACTAAATACATACAGACTTATAAGGGGAGGCACCACTTTTATTGTGCATTAAAACTCTAGTACGGTGTGTTTCCAGTACCTGGTTCATGAGCGGCAGAGGCTTCTCCACATCTTTCTCTCTCTGCTTGACCAGATCCTTCAGCATCTGCTTCAGCTGCTCCTGGTAGTCCTTCACTTCTCCTTCAACATCTGGAACAGCAGTTTCAATGACGGCTACAGTCAGTAAAGAGAGCTAATGTTATGCTAACTGGATGCTGGCTAAATGTTGGCTTATAGTGTATATATCATGTTCCCTGTCTAGTGGTTTGAGTTACTATAGTTCATGAACAGACAGGAGACGGCTGACGTCCAACACGGTTTAGCATCTATCACTGATGGTTGCTACGTCCTCGTTTCCCTGTTAGCGTCAAAGAATACAATCCCAGGATCCTTTGTTTGTTTCAGTCATTGCTCATAGGAGTGACGTAGAGAGACATAACAGTGCATCCTGACCAGGTTTGAAAAGTTAAAGGTGAAAAAGTGAGTTACTCTCTCACTGTACAGGTTAAGTCAATAGGTTGCGCTCGCTAGCATCCTCCAAAGATGGACGACTTGCTGTGGATGACGTCACATACTCATTCCCTATTGTGGATGTTATGTTACAACAACAACAACACGCCGTCACTGTTTAGTTCTTGAGCTGGTTCACATGGCAGTGTGTGTGCACTGACCTGACGGCAGATTAACAAAGAGCGGTCTGTTTGTGGACACCAGGGGGCTCTTCATCAGAGAGGGGTCATCCTCACTTTCTGTCAGAGCTACACACGTACACACGTGTACACACACACACACACACACACACACACACACACACACACACACACACAAAAGTGAATAAGTCAATTTCCAGCCCTGACAGCAGCTTGGATCTCATGACTTTCATCATGTTGAGTGACCTGGTGGGATGTGCAGACGGTACAGCAGCCGGACCTTCTCATTCAGCTCCTCACAGTACCGTGTCTT